CAGTATCATAAACTGTTGGGTAATTAGTTCAGTTCTGGGTCGGTGAAGTGCGCTTACTGGCATGAGTGGCAGCGCACCTGGGCAGGAAAAAGCAGTAGAGCAACTCTAATTCACGCCGCTGCTCTATTTTAGGCGAGCATGTGGGTCGTTTCTGCTTCGGGGGCGGGCGATGGAGTTAAAAAAGAGTGGCTAGGCGGCCGGCGGCCCCCGGTTTTGTTATTGTGGTTTGCACGTGGCAGACACCCAAATGCATTACGTCATGTGCATGTGTTGTGACACCAGATGAAGAGGCAGACAGACATGCAGGCAGACAGGCAAGGTGTGGAGGACGCGTGTGGTTCCAGAGAGCGAAAAGATCTTGTTGCCTAGAATGGTGTATCTAATTCAGGATATGCCTGCTGTGCTGTTGTGCGTGGCGAGTGGGTGGGAGACCTGCAGAGCCTCCGCAGGAGCACCGGATAGAGCTCACATGGAGCAAAGTAGCTACAGTAGGTTCCACAGAGCAAAGTAGAGGGATTTTTCTTTTGCGTTTTCCCGCACGCCCCGGTTAGGACCCCTGCGAGTGCCGCTTTACTACCGGCCCAAGGAACTGAGGAAGAGGAGACAAAGCGGTGCGCGTGGAGTGCGTATTCTTCTGGTGTGTGGGTGTCGCTTCCCGGCGCGTCAAACCTAGGGGGCGTGGGAGTATCTTTTTCCTGCGGAGAGGAAGGAGAGTGAAGATGGAGGAGGGAGGCAAGGGAGAGGATGCGGGTTCAATGGTACCGAGACTGGTGTTTTTTCTCCCCTCCCTTGCCTGTGCAAAGGCACGCTGCCGTTGTGACGGGGAAGGGGCTTCAGGCGAGCAGGTTTTTTTTCCAAAGCTGGGTGCCCTTTCCTGCTGTGTTCGACGCCCCGGCCCGGCGGTTTGCTCTTCTAATCCTGATGCCTTTTAAAGGCTTTTATCTTGTCCCTTTAAAACCTGTTTTTTTTGGGCGAGGCCCCGTTCCCGAAAGGGCCGAGGGCCCTGGGGTTCGCTGCTGTCAGTCAGTCAGTCGTGTCTCATGATGAACTCGCATGCCACGCTGAACCGAGAATTGGATTTAAAAAGCTAATACTACAATTCTCCACCGATCACCGAAGATTTGATTCACATAGCAATCCGCGCCCACGGCTTTGGCTCCCCAGGCGCCCCCGGGCCCAGAACGCATCCTCAACTCACCAAAGCGAGTCCCATACCAACGACAACCATCAGCAATAGTGAAATATACGCCGCTCACACTCCGCAGCTCCACCCCATCCATGCCAACTGCTCTAGCAAGACTACCCAGCTCCCAAAAAGACGACGTCTTTTAGCTTTATTTCCATACGCTTTACAGAGGTAAATTTTAAAACTTGGACCCAGTTCACAAGCAGTTTTAGGATTCATTGCTCGTCATTACATCTTTGGGTGAAATGACGAGCATCTCTAACTTAGTCATTCATACACGACTCGGCCCAGAACTCGTCTTGATGAAGAGCTACGTAACACATTTAGAAGCCTATTGGGCCTTTGGCTCGTATGGGTAGTTTTACAGGTATGGGGTCACGCACCCCCAACCATGTAACACACACAGAAGCCTTTTGTAGTACGGCCCCCACAGTAGCCCCACCTAGTACGGCTAAGATGGGCGGCAACCACTTAATTAGCCATGTGCATCTCTCTACTGGAGTCGTAGCCATAGTAGTGTGGGGGCGGCTGTCCTGGTGCTGTCGCACGTGCAGCTGTTGTAACAGGATCTACCCGCTAGCTGTCCCACTCATAACACTCAGCCCTGTCCCCTTGCAAATGACTCCATCCCCGGCATGTCCGGGTGCGATAGAGAATGTTTTAGAGAGAATGTCTTGCGGCGAAGTGTGGATTCTGTGTGTTGCATGCAAGGTGATGGCTGCCTACCAGGCGTCCCCCATGTTGTCAAGGCATTTTTTGCACACGACGATAAATTAACATTCTTGTCAGTCAACCACCACCGCCACCACCACCACCAGCATCACCAACACCATGCCTATCACTGCCGGTATTGCACGACCCCCCGACCCCCTCCCCCAGCAAGGCCGCACTGCACTGTTTTCGTGGCATATTGGCTTTCTTCATGGTTTGCTAGCGATTGCATCCAGGAATTCTCCTCTGCTGCACATGCACATGCACATGCACATGCACATGCACATGCACATGCACATGCACATGCACATGCACATGCAGGTATTCCTCCTCCCCTAACCCAATCTCCGCGGACTCGTCCGGCGCTCCCTCTTCTGGCGATCCCTTGAAGGTCTCTTCCCGTCCTTATTCGTCCTCCAGGCAGCCAGGTGCCCCTGCCTCCTGGCGCAGCGCGTGGTGTGGCCTTCTGGCTGGCTGGGGCCCTGGGCCTTCTCGGCAAGGGCTGGTAAGGGCCTGGGGCTGGTCCCGGCCCTGGGGTTTTGAATGGGGTGTGCTGCATGCCCGCAGTGTCGGTCATGGGACCGACTGCAAGCAGAAGTTGCAGAGGTTTGGCCAGGCGGTGGCTGGCGCGAAGGCCAGGCAGTAAAGTTTCTCGCAAGACGCTCAGCTGATGAAAATCCAGTCTGTTACGCATGTGACGCGATCCGTCCAAACGACCTCCAATCGCATTTTGCATGCTCGTCCTCCAGTTCGTTGTCAGATGGAGGTAAATGTCAAAAATATGAGTAATAGTCTCCTAGGAGTTGTAATTCATAACCGGTGAGAAACAAACGAGGCGAAACCCGAGTATAAGAGCTGGCGATACAGCGTCTAGAGCGCTAGCTTGAGCTTGAGCTTGATGGGAGAGGAGGGGAGTATGAACAGCTGGAAAGCTAAAAGATCGACACTGTCTTATCCTGCAGGGCTTTGTGGGGTTGAACACATTCTTTGAACAAGAAAGCTGCGGTTTTCAAAACGAGCAAGCCTTAAAGCTGCCTCCATAATGCCGACGGCCCTTATGTGTCCGGGGTGTGTATCACTGTGCGCATACCTGTGCACGGACGCATAAACAGCCAGCAAAACCGAGTTGCGCTGTTTGCAGGCCACATTTCAAGGTTCAATGACTCGGAAATCTTGCGCAAATGCTTTCCGGCTGTGGGGTCTGCACACTAAATGGCCGCACGGGCTTGCCGTACAGTTGCAGGTACAGGACGGGCTAGACAGCATAGCTCTGAGCTCTGAGAGCGGCCAGGCCAAGGTTCACAGCTGCAGAGTTTTCATCCGTTTCTACAAGACATATCTGTTTAGTTAGAGTTTCATGAAAACTTAGGAGTCTTCGGCGCAAGTTGCTGTGTCCTATTTCAAAGCGCATAACTGGCCCGCAATGCCGCATGTATTCTTGGCCATTATTCTATACTCGACGGTAGTTGCTGGTGGGTTCAATTACAAATGTACGCTGCTCGTCAAAGGCGAGCAACTGAACTGAAGTCCTTCATTTGCAATATCGCAGCGGCCGCGATAGACGGATCTTCCGAGGAGTTGCTAATAGGTTGGAAGGGAGAAACATATAATGCAAATGCTGCAAAGGTTGGTCGCAGTATGACCGTACCGTCGGAGTGAAGACTGGCGGAAAATACAACCTCAAAAAATACTCACGTTGTGTCATACCCGTTGTCGACAGGGGCAAAAGCGTGACCGGTATGGGCCGGAGCCTTGGTGAGCCCTTACTTGCTGCAGCTGTCGCTCCAGATGTTGCATGCTCCAGTTTCCGACGTGATGTTGCCGGCTCGCAGGATTGAAACTATTTCCTGGAGCCCTCGGGCATTTGTATATCACAATTTCCTAACTAGCGCAGAATGCGACCACCTTGTCCAGATAGGTACCCAGCGGGTAAGTGGATTGGAACGTCCGTCCTTCGCCCTATCCCGCGGGCTTGGCTGCGAACGCTTGTCGCAGCTTAACATCGATGGTGCTGTCTTCTTGGCCCCTCCTCTGCAACTTATCTTGAAGTGCATGCCGCCAAACTCTTGCCATGTATGGATGGGCAACCAAGTTCTTGTCCTTGTCCCCTGGCTCTGCTCTATTTCTAGTTCCCACTGTTATGTACACATCATCGCTCCACATTTACCCCTACGCGGTGCACAGGTGAGCCGATCGCTAGTAGTGGACTCCCAAACGGGGCAGAGCAAGTTGGACGACATCCGTACAAGTTATGGAGCCGCGTTTGGGTGAGCGCGCCGTCTCGCCATCACCTCCGCCTCCCCTTTCCATTCAACTCACAGCTCTCAAAACTCTTCCCTCCCTCTCCCTCTCTCTTCCTCCTCCTCCTCCTCCCTCGCCCCCATTCCCACCCAGGCGTGGGGAAGACCCGGTCATCGCGGAGATCGAGGAGCGAATTGCGGAGTGGACTCACTTACCTCCTGAACACGGAGAACCTATGCAGGTACGAATGCGGTACGAAAGACGTGGAATCATACATCAGACAGTGTACGGCAGGCGGGCCAGCAAATCTGGTTATCCTAAATAAATGATTTTAGGAAGGTCTTTAAGGCAGCGACACATCGTGCAAGAAGGGAGGGAGGGGAGGGGCGGAACACTCTTTACAGCCAATCACAATGGGCTCTGCTCTTCACTTCAGCACGCTTAATTTATTTTTACCTCTTTCTTGTTCTCTCGTAGTTGCTCTTCCATACTTGCAATTTTCAGACACGGGAAAAGCCCTAAAACCCGGAACCCCCCGTCCCTGCACGCACTTCCCCCCTCCCCCGCATCCCGCCTAGATCCTGCGGTACGTGGACGGCCAAAAGTACGACGCGCACTGGTACGATGCGTGAAGTCCGGGGGGAGGGGGAATGGGGGCGGGAGGGGACGGCAGATTGGTGAGCTTGCCCGCGGTCCGCGGGGGAACACCTACGGGATTTGATGACGGTCGTCATTTGGACCAGTTGCTCATAACTGCCGTTGCGGACCGCCAACCACGAGTATCGCTCTTGATCACCAGTTTGAGTGGAGCACCGCAATCGCAATCGCAATCGCAGATCCGTACAATGAAAAGGGCCATGCAAAATGCCGGGGGGGGGGAGAGTTGTTGCTGGAGGGATGGAGGGTTGGAGCCACACATTGTTCTGGATCTCTTAATCCAATACTGAATTTGCCTTAAGGGATGCCTTTCTTAGCCGCCACCTACCCGTATCTGGACATGATGTGTTCGTTGTTATTGTCGTCCTTATCCTCCTCCTCCTCCCCTTCCTCCTCCTCCCCCTCCTCCCCCGCCCCTCCTCCTCCCCTTCAGGGACTGGTTCGATGACCCCGTCCATCACAGATCCTACCTAGTGGACGGCAACAGATACGCCACCGTGCTGCTGTACTTGTCAGGTTTGTGTGTGTTTGGGGGGGGAGGGAGGGGGGCAGAGGGAGAGAGAGGGAGGGCTGCTGCCTGACACTGCGCTACATTACACACACAAGGCAATGAATACACACACGCATCCGCGCCGTTGTCCCTGGGCTCCCCTCCCCTAACCCTCCTTAAAACCCCTATGGCCCTTTTCCCATAACGCGACTCAGAGGTGGAGGCGGGTGGAGAGACCAACTTGCCCCTGGCAGACCCCATTGACATGTCCGTACAGGTACGACATGGTGGTGAATGGCAGGGTGTATGTTGGACCGGTGAAGATGCGCGACACATTTCACGCGTGCCGTGTGTGGCTGCTATCCGCCCCCGCGCCGCCCCGCCCCCCCCCTCGTGTAATCCCCCGGTCCCCATCCTGCCGTGTCCCCCCCTCCTTCCACCACCACTCCCTCCCATCGCGCCACCCAGGCCATAGAGAACCCCTCGCCGTGTGCGGCTAAGATGGGTCTCAGCATCAGACCCCGGAAGGGGGACGCGCTGCTGTTCTACGACATGGACATCGAGGGCCAGAAGGGGGACCGTAAGGCCCTCCACGCGTCGTGCCCCACACTCAAGGTGCCGTTGCTGTCGTGCTGCTATTGCTGCTATTGTCGTGTCGTGCTGTCATTGCTGCTATTGTCGTGTCGTGCTGTCATTGCTGCTATTGTCGTGTCGTGCTGATATTGCTGCTATTGTCGTGTCGTGCTGTTATTGCTGCTATTGTCGTGATGTTTTTGGTGGATGTCCGGAGGGAATTTGGCGGGGTCAGGATGCAAACTGGGATGTTGCGGTTGTCTGTTGTTGTCTGATGCTGCTGTTGCTTGCTGGCAACTCCTCGGCCTTTGACTTCCCCTCCCCATCCCCTCCTCCGCCTCCCTCCGCTCTTTCTTCTTCTCCCCAGCTTATTTTGTCTGGGACACCGACATTTGATGCTTGTGGACACAGCATGACAATGCACTAACCACTGCACAACTCCCTATCCTGCCTTCCCTCCCCGGGGTCGCCCGCCCACGCCCAAATACGTACATACATACATACACACGCACGCAGGGTATGAAGTGGACGGCAACGAAATGGATCCACAGCAAGCCGTACATGGGCCGTTTCGACCCCCTGCGCACTGCCGGAGTGTGCAGGGACACGGCCCAGGACTGTGCGGCCCTGGTTGCCGAGGGCCGCTGTACCTCCGATCTGGACACGATGGTGGGTCCAGCCGGCAAGTGCCGCAAGAGCTGCGGAGATTGTGTGGACTGTCCAAACGGCGACATCCTCTGCGCCCGGAGAAATATGCGGAGTCTGGTGTTGGCCAAGTTAAATGCGGCTAAAGGGAAGAGCAGCAGTAGCAGTAGCGGCGGCGGTGCACCATAACCGGTGAAGGTGGCCCAGGCCGTGTTTGTGTGTGGGGGGGGTATGGGTGTGGGTGTTTGGGAACAGCTGGGAGGGGTTGGGAAGGGGGGAGGAGGCTGTATAAGCTTGGTCGGGAAGGTTAGGAGGGAGAGAGAGCGGGCGTGGCGGCGTTGAGAAGAGGAGGGCGTTCGCTGTGATGGCGGTGGCGGTAGTGCTTTTTGGGGAGGGAAGATAGGGGGGTTTTCACGCTGCGCGTATACATGGAGACTGCGGGGCTGGGGAAGAATGATAGTCTAGTTGTAGTACTGCTAGCTGTGCAGGAGGTGCCGTACATGGCGTGAGGCGTGAGGTAGGGGCCGGGGGCAGTTAGAACTTGCGTCCGACATTGCATACATAACATACATACAGATATCAACTTGCTGACGTCCAAGCAATGACGATGCGTGCGGATCACCAGCGGTCTGTGTATTGCTAGCAGCTGTGTGCGAGAAGGCCTGGGAGAGGCGATATCGATGGGGGTTAGCGGGGCGAGAAGGAGTTGGGAAGGATATGGCTAGATGGCGGAGAGGTTGCGAGCCGAGTATGCGCGCGATGTTTGTGTATCGCTCTCCAATTGTGAGTATGTGTATGCGCGTCTGTATGTGTGTATCATTTGTGTGTGATACAGTTGGGGGCCGGGAAAGGCCGTTATGAGGTGGAGGGATGCTCTGCGGCCGCAGTAAATGAGACGAGAGCGACGACGGGGGGCGCGGGATTGCGGTGGCAAGGCGGGGGGTCAGTTGGAAGGTGGGCGGGAGGGCCCGTGCAATGCATCCATGCATGCGTGCGTGCGCGTATTTGGAGATGGACGGTGTGGTGCGCGTGCGGGGGAGATAGGGCCCGTCAGGTCACCCCGCGAGACCCGTGAGTGTGTGCCCTGTGGGGACGCGTGCGCGTGCGCGAGAGGATGGGGTTTTGGGGTTTAAATCTCATTGGTCTGCGGACTGGGAAGAACTTGGAAGGGGGAGGAAAGGTAATGTGGGTTTTAATGTCGTAGAAGTGAGTCGACAGTAGAAACGAAGCACGCGCGACAGATGGCCCAAAGCGCAGGTGGTCTTTGTGGTCAAAGATGAGGACATGTTCCCGGATGCGCCTAGGTAGTGCGAAATGGAAAGAAAAAGAGGTGGGTTTCTGGAGCGTGACGAATGCCGTGAGGACTAGGGGGAATCGTCTTTCGGGATGCGGTTGCTACGCGTTGTTTGCGAGTCCGTCTTCCGCAAGATGTGAGTTCGCAATCCCTGTGAGCTAGGCGGGCTGATGGCTTCGGGTTTGCCGCTCCTGCTTTAGCAGGAGATTTCCTTTATGGAAGCCCATAGCTTTCTTGTGCAGTAACTCGACGACCTGATCTCCGCGCGTTCTGTTCCGGCAAAAATCAGAATCGTCTGGGAATGACTAGAGCACGGCTCTGTGTCCTTGTGCGATACGGTGTGCGGACTTTTGACCCGCGCGTAAGACCCAACGCATCCAATATATGTTTGGAAGCCTGGTGCAGCGTTGAGTCACATGCGGCGACGTTGTCAGTTACGTTGCTGCGCGATGACTCAATTTCAAAATCGCCCCGGTTTGGGACTTATTGCGTAGAAAAGGCGTGTGGGAGCGGCCCATGTAGGACAACTGCTCTCCTGCATAAAAGAGTTAAGCGGCATAGAGGAAACTCCTTGAAGTAAAGAATTATCGGGACCTTGCCAGCCTTACCTTAAACGGCCGCGCCAAACAACTACTTTGCCCAAGCACGGCAACATTTCTGTGACTGGTGTCCGTGTCTCCTTGACCGTTTCCTTCAAGAATGGATCGTTGCGGCAGCGTGCCTGAGGCTGTGGCTACTATGATGGAGCACCCAAAATTGACTAACCGACCCAAGGGACAGTTGAACGGGAACGGAAACGCAGGCAACAACAAGGGTCCAAACGCCTTCATGTTTGCCCACGCTGTACTCTTCTACTCGCTGGCTGGTATGGCTGCCGTGGCGGATATGGCGACTCGGCCCATCCGGCTGGTCCTGGGGAGCATCTTCAAGAAGCCGCAAAACTGAATGAAATGAAAATGATGATGATAATATTCGAGTACTATTGAGATGTGGTGTTGCGGTTGCGAAGGATTGTATGTGCTGGCTTCATCGGTCGTGTCTCTTGTGGCATCGTGACAGTTGATCTGTTCTTGACGGGACGCATCAATAACCCTGAACGTTTGGGGTTTCCTATATGCCAATCCTTTTACTTTTTAATAGAACTGCAAGATGGAATCTTTGATATACATAATGTTTTGCAATTCATATTGAGGTTGACCTGTAACAAATTGGTAACGCGGTGCCTGCCTGGCTCTGACCCAGAATGGCCTCTGCACCACACGATATCTACGGCTTTCCTATATCATACAAGGGTCCGCACCAGGCATTCGACTACCAACGGGCTCAGAACCTGTACGCTGTCCAGGAAAAGGCATGGGAGAAGTACGCTGCAGAGAAGCGGCTCTCGGGCGGCAAAAGCAAGCTCAAGAAGCTTATCCGCAGGGGAGTTCCTCCAAAGCACCGGCACTGGGTTTGGTTCGAGGTGTCGGGCGCCAAGCAGCTCATGGCATCGCAGCCGGGAAACAGCTACTACTCCAACCTAGTGAAGGCTGCGGCGTCGATGTGCAAGGTCACGGCGCAAGTGGAGCTCGTGAGCGCGGGGAGGGGGCAGGAGGGGTAATTATGCTGTGAGCTTACCAGGGCAGCTGCCGAATCTTGACCCCGTTGGCATCGCTGTCCGAGTTCCGTGTCCTTGCCTGTTGAGGGCCCATGGCTCTCTCAGCGCCGCGCTTCTGTTACTCCTGACATTGTTGATGCTGATGCTCTTTCATTTCCGTGCCTTTTAAGGATGCCACAGTCTGCACTTTAGCTATGTATTCCTTAGTGCAATGCTGCTCCCGCACCTTTCACAAGCAAGGCTCCTGTAGAGCGTTGGTCACATGCTAAGAACACCATTTTCTATAAAGTTTTATCATGTTCCCACCACCTCGTTGTTCCCGTTTCCCCGGCCCTTTCTTCCCGGCAGGACCTGCCCCGCACGTTCCCCGGCCACCCCTACCTCTCATGCCCGGAAACCGGGCAGGCAGCCATGCGCCGCATCCTCACCTCCTACTCGCTGCGCAACCCCAAAGTGGGCTACTGCCAGGGCCTGAACTTCGTCGTGGGTAGGTAACGCTATTTGCCAGGATACGGGCCGTACGGGTACGACAATTTACGGTGTGGTTTCGCGAGCAAGGCCGTTGGAATCTATGCGGCTTCGCATGTACGCTCAGGTACTTTGCTTGAAGCGATAAATCTTCACCGGGCAGCTCAGTGACGATGATCGCGTGCTCATGAAGATGGCTCACGTGATGCTGTACACGTGAGGTTGGGGTTAATTGAAAGGATGGACGTCAACGAGCTCAACCAAGAAACAAACGCATCTGAGTGTGGCAGTGGATCGAATCCAATCGAACCCAATTTATTTATGGAGTGCAGCTCGTCCCGGTGTATCCTGGCGAAATATTGCCAACATGTTGCTGTTGCCTGCCCACGCCCTCTCCCGCGCCTTCACCACCCTCCCTCAGTAAACCCACATTGAGGTGGCGTAGCTATCCAAATCAGGCACGTGCTACTACCTTGCCAGGATTTCCCCCTCACTCACTTTCACACACGCACACTCCCTACCGCTGCTGCACCCCGGGTCCCCCGACCTCTGCACAGGTGTCATCCTGCTCGCAGTGGAGCGGGACGAGGAGTGCACGTTCTGGCTGCTGGCGGCTCTGGTAGAGAAGATCTGCTACCAGGGTAAGGCCTGGGCAGGGCAGGGAAGGTCACGGGCAAGGGGACCAACCTGTCTCTGAAACCCTGAAAGAAACTGGAAACGTCTTAGGTGAGGAGAGTTGGAGCTACAACCCAGGTCCTGCTCGTGTCTGGAGTTAGTGCGTGAGAGGGGAAGAAGAACTGCAAACGGTTCTTTTGACGATGTAAAGAGTACCTACATTGGACCGGCTTTTTCCATGGCTCCTGCATGCTGACGCAGCGAGTTAATAGTGTATGCGTGTATGCATGTATGTATGTTTCTGTTACACATCGATCCTGGCCTGACGCTGGCCAGGGGCACCTAATCGAACCCCAACGGGGACGATCGCCGAAGCACTCTCCCCCTAGCGGGCGTATGTACGTATGTATGTATATTTGAGTTTGCGTTGTGTGATATATTTGTTGCGTCCCATGCCCCGACCGGGCCCTTGCCTTGGCCCGACTTGGGCCGTTACCACTTCCATCGCATTCATTTCTCCCCCCCCCCCACCACCATTCTGTGACGCTCCCTCTGTTCCACAAGCTTCCCTGCCTCCCTTCTTCCCTTAGGTTCCTTTGGCGACAACTTGTGTGGGTGTCATGTGGAGATGAAGACTCTGCAGGTGCGACACAACAGGGGGAGGGGGAGGGGGATCGGGCGAGAAACAATGGGGATGGGTTGCGTTGGTGTCCTTCAATGGAGGAAACACAATATGGACTTCGACGAGACTGAACCTGAACCTGGACCCGGACCTGGATCTGGATCTCCAGCCACACCTTCCGCATACTGGTGCCTTCGTTTTCCGGGTCCATCACAAAGTCGGCCATCCACCGCGGCTCCCAGCTTCTTCGGACCACAGCCGTCCTCTAATATGTCGGAGAGTGTACACGCGTCATGTGGGTGGAGCTCTAGCTCTACCGGCGGGGCGGTGTCGGGTGCACCATCGGCATAATATGGGTTTCCGCGCTTTTCTCCTCGCCCCAACATTTTCCCCCGTCACTGAGTTATTTGGCTCTTTCCTTATAATGGGTCCTCGTCGTCCGCTCTCGTTTTCTAACGTATCGTTTGACCCGCGTTTCAGGACCTTGTCCACGCCAAGATACCGAAGCTGGGTGCCCATATGAAAGCCACCAATTGCGACATGTCCCTGGTCGCCACCGACTGGTTTCTGGTAGGTTCTGTTGTCCTGTCCCTGACCGTCGCGTTGCATTGCGCGGAAGGGCGTGTCGGAGTCTCGGAATGATGTTAAGCGAGAAATGTGTATTATTATATAGGAAAACCGGTATGTGCTTGAATTTATGCTCTTGGTGTGCATGTCCACGTCTTTATCTTGTCTCACTTTTGGATTGTCCTCTATGCGTCGAGTGCCAAACTTTCGTTCCCATGCGCTTTGGATGCCGAGGTCTTTTGCAATGGCCCCGGTTTGTCATTTCCTTGGTGGTGATGTGCAGACGCTGTACTGCGTGAGCATGCCTGCGGAGTCGGCGTGTCGGGTATTGGATGCGTTGCTGAACGAGGGCGCCAAGGTGCTGTTTCGCGTGGCTCTGGCGCTGCTCAAAACGGCGGAGAACAGGTTGCTGCAGCTGGACAATGCAGGTGGGGAAGGGGCTGCACAGGAGAGGGGAAGAGGGGAAGCAAGCCGGGAGCAGGAGAGGGAGAGCTACGGAAGGTGACCGTGGTGTTAGCATGACGTCTGCTATGGCATCTTTGCCCCAGAATGGTGGAATGGCAAAGCAGCCCAGAGGGAGCGTCGCATGTGGTCTGACAAGGGCGCAGACGAGGACGTAGGAAGGGAAGGATGTAGTAAGAGGGGAGGTGACACACGGCAGCCAGTTTGTTGGAATGCCTTATTTTACCCACGTTGCTGAGTTGATGACGGGAACCAGGCTTTTCCCTTGCAGATCGCATATTACCTTGCGATCGGTAGGTTGCAAACGGCCCTTACAGTTCCCGCCGTCCTCGTCCTCGGTGGGGCACCTTTCGTACCTCCCACGCAGGCGAGCTGATGAAATGGGTCAAGGACTTCGTGGGGGGCATATTGCACATCGACCCGCTCATGCAGATTGCCTTTGGCGGTATTGGTGGGCTGTCCTTGTCCCGCGTGGAGGCTGTCCGCAAGGTCAAGGCCCAGGAGGTGCAGGTGAGCAGAAATGCCTCTGATACAGCTCTATACGTCTTGAGGAACGGAGTTGACTAGAGAGCCCTCCATGGTAATGAAGAGTTGATGCGGGTACCTTATATCTCCGAGGGGAGGATAAAAGAATAGAAGCATAACACCGTCGCTTCGAGGGGTAGAGACGCATTGTATTATGCTAGATTTCGTCGCAGCGTGTGGCTTGCAGCGCATGACCACATAGCAGGTTCTTTTGGGATGGCGGCGTGGCGGAGGTGAGCTGGGGTGCATGGAGGGCTTGGATAATGTGAAATAGTGCTTGTTGCTGAGTACTGAGCTGGCCCTGGAGTTCTGGGCCTCGTAGCTAATCGTTCCTCTCCCGCACCACCGCCACGGATAGTTTGAGGGCGCCCGAGTTTGTTGTAACTGTGCGGCTGGAGGAAGGCGGAGGAGGAGGGGGACTTTAGCATGGCTCAGGTTGGCTGATTGCTTTCAGTATTAGCGGACGGAGAGTAATGCTGTGCCTGGCGTTAGCTGCTCTCTAGGCTGCTGCGTCTATACAGGCGCTACTGCGTGCTGTCCCATATCCCAGGGCTTCCTGCTGGGTCAAACTGACGGATGCACTGTGTGCTTTCCCAGGCGTTCATGGACGAACGGAGGGAGAGGATGAGCCCGCGGACGGAAGGCCGTCCTGGGACACTGTCTCCCGGAACGTAAAGTTGTTACAAGAGGAAGGGCTGTACTGCAGCCCGGAACCGGTATGTCCAATCATTTGTAAGATGTACGCTCCGACGAGCGCACCAGAAAATTTGCTCCATCCGCGTCAGAACTAAGCACAAGCCAACGCCAGACCAGAACTTGATCAGAATAAAAGTCCGACAGCCCGTGGACTTTAAACCTCCATCTATTTGCTCATGGCTGCGCAGAAAGGATTGCCCAGGAAAGTTGTCTTAGGCCTTGGCCTTGCGGGGTAGCAAGGAACCATTCTGCCCTGCAACAACGCCAGACTTACCTAACGTCTCCTCCTCACGTTGGAGGTACCAGTCTCGCCGATAGAGCGCCTTCTGCCACAGGTCCTTGTTAATCGCCCAAGCCGGCTTCTGCTCACGATAAAGCTGTACTTTGTCCAAGGCAAACAAACCGACAGTCCAGATGCCAGTAATAATGACAAGTGATGGCACCGCGTTCCAACCCATGGTGCTCTAGGTTCCGATGAAGGGTGTTGGGCGTGTTGCCCCTACAAACCGCTGCTCCACCTTAAGGACCTTGCTTCTGGAATTACAACCTGATTGCAATCAATGTCATTAGAATCGCATGGGGGTTTGCGACATCATTGAGACTGTTGAGCGGTTTGGGACGTACGGCATTTCTCTGCATTCGTCTCCAGCTTGCAAAGGTGAACTGGATGGCATTCCGGAAGACTGCAAGCAAATGCTTCAACACATCTGTATTGCCTTGGATGTACGCACAACTAGACCGGCGTTTATGTCTTGTGCAAAGCTAGCGTTAGGCCATCCATAATGCCTTGCTGTTGTAATGGCAGCATAGAATGTCATGTTGAGAACAATTTATCGAACAAGTCGGAAACGGCGGATGTTAAGGGCTGCGATGAGCAACCAACCTGCACGTCCATCGTCTGGGCGGACGGTCGCGGACGCCCGACGGTCCAACTGTCGCTGAAGTGCGCTACGAGGCGTGACTGGTACGCTGAATCTCCTTTGGTGCCCGGCAGAAGTCTTATCCGAGCCGTGCCACGATTCCGCCGGCAACCCCACATGAGCTTCATGCCCCCTTTATTAAAGCGCGTGCCGGCAGCGTATTTCAGTGGATCACAGCGCAGTCAAACGACAGTCTCTAACGCACATAATCTAATACGTGAATTCCGCGCGCTTGTCACCATCGTCTGTGCACGGCAGGGCGGTGAGGAAAGGTGCCGGTGCGGACCCCTGTTCCCTAACTGCGAGTCGCCACGGTCAAAGCTTCCGATATTGGGCCCTGAGGCGACATGTCGTCCAAGTTACAAGAGCCCATGAAGAGCCTTCCACACACCGGATTGTCCTGTACAACAATCCATTTTCTGACTGGATCACGGCGTGTGGCGTCAGCCGTTGGCTGGTCGACAGGGGATCAAGGATTAGCACCAGCAGCACTCATGTGGGCTCCGGCTCTCCTCAGTCATCACCCCTGGAGTCAACGCCAGCCGCTTTGCTATCTTCAACGACGACGGCCCGAGATGGCAGCTCTGAGAGGGCAGCCTCGCAGTCTTTGCCACCAGGGCCGTCACCGCCACCGCCACCACAGCAGCAGCAGCAGCAGCCGCAAGCGACGCGGCCCACCCGGAGCCCGCCACAACCGCTGCCCTACTCCGTCCCCACCTTGGCAATAGGCGACGTGTTCCTCTCATGCAACACGGTGGCAGGGCTGGAGCATGCGGTGGGTGACGGTTAGAATTCCGGTTAGGTTTACTGTTGTGCGCTGCGGCAACCGTAATCCCGTCATAGCAACGTTTTGCCGGACAGCTCCCTCCCAAACTCCCCCCACCCTTTCCTCGTCAGCCAGCGCCACTACTGCCCACAAGTGTAACGCAGCACAACCCATCGCGCCACACCCACCCCACGCACCAGCTGTCCCCGCGTTCTTTCCTCTCCTCGGCAGCCTGATCTCCTTCTCCTCCGCCTTCTCCTTTCCCAACCCTCGTCCCACAGGCCGATTGGGACTTGGCGAAGGCCCCTTTGGAACCTCAGGCGCAGGCGCAGGCTTCCACCCAGGCTAAGCTGCCCCAGGCCCCTCACCAGCCTCACTCAGCGTTCCCGGATGGCCCCCGCGGCGCCGCGGCCCCCCTGGATCTCGGTAGCGAGCTGCTGTTGCGTATGTCGCCCCCTGTTGGCGGTCAGCGACTCATGTTTGTGAGCAAGGAGGGCGCGGAGCTGGTCCGGAGAGCGCTGCTGCTGAGCAGGTGAGGCGAAGAAGTCTTACAGCTGGCGGCAGTTGGGGAGCGGCAGTTGCGGTTGGCGGTTTGGGGGGTGGGCGCAGTTATGGCCGGCGTGGTAGTTGGAACCGGCAGTTGGGGCGGCGGCAGTTGTGCTCCTCAGTAGTGGTGATGGATGTGGTGGTGGCGGAGGAGGACTTTGAGGATGGGTGAGAGGCGCAGCGTGTTGGAGCCTTTGGAGGCATGCAGGACGGGTGAGAGGAGCTTCCTGGAGCTAATCCGGGTGGAGCCAGGGGAGGGCGGGTGGGGTAGGGGGAAGCCATCTACCCAAGTATTGAGATGTGGAGCGGAGCGTTCAATGGTGTGCTTGGGTGAGGTCTGTGGGAGATCGGGGATCTAGGCCTTTCGCGTTGTGATGTGTAGGGCGCGGCATTTAGGGCGGTTTGCGGTCGCAGCTCCATCATATGCTTCCGTTGCACCCATCGTCGCCCATCGTCCTTTTCCTTACGTCTGGTTCCATACTCTTTTCACCACACCACACCACACCACACACCGCACGATTGCAGATATGATGAAATCATGGCAGAAAGGAAGGCCGCGGCGCAGGAGGCAACGGAGGATGAAGGTATTGAGAACCCCCAAAACGCAGCCGCCACCTCCAGGGCCGCTGCAGCAGCGACGACATTTGCAAAGGGATCGTCCGAGGCACGCGACCCGCGGGTAAGTGGTTTCGATGGCTTGAGAGCTGCCGGTGGCGCCCGCGGCGGCAGCGAGGGTCGTGGTGACGAGGAGGTCGGCTCTGCACCGCCGCCTGCGCAGTGGTTTCGGAGGTCGAACACGAACACCGCCGACCGGGCGCCGACGCGCACATCGCCCTCCTCTGCGCCGGCTGCGAAATCACTGGAAAATTTAAATTCAAATTCAAGTTTAAAATCAAACGCACCTGATGCGCCTGCCAGCGAGGCGCTGCTCAGTGGCAACAGTGCGGAAACCAGTACCGCTGCCGCCGCCGCGGCGGCCAGCACGTACGACACTCTACAGCTAGACCTCCCCAGCTGGCTTCCTCAACCGATCCGCGAGGCTGCGACGGCTGCTGCGCGCGGCGTTGGCAACTGGATGACGCACGGCATCGGTGGCGGCGGCGGCGGCAACGCCGCCGCCGCCAGCGGCGGCGCTGTCGGCAGCTTGACGGCGCTTCTGGCGCGCGGCGCCGCCTCCGATGCCTTGGACGTGTCATCTGGGCCACGACCGCGATTGCCCGCGCCGCCGCTGACCAGAGCCATGCAGCTGCCGCCGCTGCCCCCGCCGCCGCCCACACCGCCAACAGAAGACCCTGACAAGGGTGCACATCAGCAACACCACCAGCAACATGGTCATCATCATGATCAGCGGCGGGAGGGGAAGGAAATCCCAGAGGTAGCCGAGGCAGGCAGCGGGCTGCAAGTGGCAGGAGGCGGCGCCTCCACCGCCTCATCCCCGACCGGGGGCTCCTCCGCAGCGCACTTGGACAACGAGGAGATCCTGCGCGAGCTGAAGCAGCTGGGTAAGTCTCCGTGCGGGTGCGCCGCCCCCGGGTTGCTGGGTTACCACCCGCGTGTTGCGCAGTGTCTAGGTGAGCGCTTAGGGGAAACCTTCCCTCCCACCCTCTCTGCCTCCCTTTCTGCCAACGTCCAAAGTATTGTGTCAAGTGACTAATGCCTGAGAACTTTATTTTTTTGGTGCTTTTGCATCGTCTGTCTTGCCTCTCTCTCTAACCCTCTCTTTTTAACTGTTTATTTCGACCTCATCCCTATTCCCTCATATCCTCTTTGCGTATTTCTTTCGCAACACCGTATCGTGCTGCCATGCAGAGGCGGCCAAGGTGATTGCGGACGCGGAAGCGCTCCTGAAGTCCTTGAAACGCGGCGCCTGGGGCAGCGGCGGCGACACCGACAGCAGCGACGGCACTGCTGGTGGCTTCCTGCCGCCCTTCAGCTTCAGCAGCTACGTGGCTAGGCTGCCATTGGCAGCAGCCCTCAAGGCCCTCCTTAGCAAGCCCGCCAACGCGCCGACGACGACCACGACCACGACGACAACGCAAGCCGCCGCCGCCGAACATGCGGCGGCGGGGTCGGTGCCTGTACGGCGTCGCTTCTTACTCGTCCCTGACTCAGCGGATGAGCAGGCCGTGATGGGTAGCCGCGAGATTGAGCGTTTGGTGGCGGATGTGGACGCGTCTGCTTCTGCTGCTGCCGCGGCGGCGGTGGCGGCGAGGGAGGATGAGGACGGGCCATCTGTAGTGGGTTTGGACGACGGTGCCAGCGTCGCCGAGGGCGGTACGGCAGGAGCTGCAGGGTCGACGAGGAGCAGCAGTCGCGGCAGCGGCGGGTCCGTTCCTGGCCGTCGAAAAACCCCTCGCCCGCGGGTAAGTGCAGCTGATGAAGAAGTGGAACCTGGGAAAGCGCAACAACAAAGGAGTTGAGCCGTCGCACTTATCATAACAGACACTAAACTGAAAAGAGTGCCTTGTGCAGTTGTACGATCAGTTGTACGATGAGCCACAAGGGCGTTTTCATTCTTCCTGAGCCGGAGACGAATTATTAGATGTGTGAGCTTTTGAAGTGAAGTGAATTGTAGCGTCCACCGTGTTATTCATGTGATCCGGCCGATAACCACCAGTCCATTACCCTGAACTTCCGCCACCGCCCCGCTGCCTCTTACGCAACTGTCCCTGCCCCGTACGTTGTACGGTGTACGACAAATCACGGCATGAACAGGTGGCTTTAAATATGTTTTTTAGCGATTCTAGCCACTGGGTCTTAGATGTCGTGGACGAGTTGGAACAGGGTGATGCGAGTGAGGCAGTGGTTGGCAGCAGCAGTAGCAGCAGTAGCAGTGGCAACAACCAGCAGCAGCAGCAGCAGCAGTCGTTGCCTCCGGAGCCTTTCATGCGAGGAGCTCCTAGCGGGCCGTCGGAGGACTTGGTGAGTGATGGTGGGTTCTAAGGGCTGCTCCGGGCCTATCAGGTTGGCAGTTAACACTTTTTTTGGTGCGTCTTGCTGCTGCTGGCATGTCATGACCAAGCTCCTCCACACCCCTCCACACTCTCCACCTCTTTGCTATTCCGTCCTCCCAACCCCCCCGCCCTTCCTCTCCTCCTTTTCCTTGTCCATGTCTTTCTAGGGAAGTCTCGTCCAACTGCCGTACAACCCACCCCAGGAGTCGCTTCTTTTGCCTGGATCCGGATCCTCGTCCTTCACCACCGCAAGCTCCTCTGCTAGTAATTCCACCGTGCAGCACGACAGCAGTACACCGTCTTCCGCCACCTACCCCACCGCTGCAGCCGGCAGGAGCGGGAACAGCAACCACGACGACGATGACAGCAGCGGCAGCGGCGGCGGCGGTGGCGGTGGCACTGCCACCTCCTACGGTGACGGCAGCGGAGGCGGAGGTCGTACACCTGTGTTTTTGCTGCCCGGCGTCACCGTGAGCGTTCGCGCCGCCGATGGGACTGTTCTCCGGCTACGCCCCGCGTTTCTGTCGCTGCAGCAGCTGGCGTCGGCGCTGGCGTTAGTGCGTGATGCGGGGGTGGCGGCCTGGCGGTGGCAGCGCTCGGCGGCGCGGTGGAGGGTGGTTTCGGCGCTGGATGTGCTCACGGTGCACAGCGCAGGTATGTACGTACGTACGTGTTGTACGTATGTATGTGTCTGTGCGTGTGTAATTCGAAGATGAGGCTGAGGCCGGTTGTGTTCTAAGGTTTTTAATATCAACAGATATGGGGATAAAAATTGACGGTGAGTTGGCTAAGGTGGTGCGGGTTGGCGACTGAGGGAAACCGAGGTCCCGGGGGTTCAGGCACCTATGACCTAACAGCAGGGACTCAGACGAAGACCGGCTTCGGCCAGTTGAGTAACCCGTTCCCCCAGCGGGTGTTTCCCGCCTGGCGCCCCTTCGCATACCCCATTCCCTCCGCCTTCCTTCTACCCCCGTCTGTGTATCTGCCTTTCCCACGAACCCCGACAACAACAACAACAACCCCCTTCCCCCCCTCCTTCCCCCCTTCTCTCCCCCTTTCCCCCCTCGCACCGGAAACTCGCTCGCTACACCTCCGCAGGGTTCCCCATCATGCGCTTCCCACCCGTGTCGTCGTCTTCGTCGGCGGGGGCAGCTGGCGGCGGCGGCGGCGGTGGCGCTGGCAGTAATGGCGGTAACGGTGACGAGGACAGTGATGATGGACTTCCGGAGGCTAAGGAGTTGTTGCGGGAGATGGGGGCAGGTGGGGACAGAGAGGAGGGTGTCGAGGGTGCTTGCCGGTAGGGTAGGGGGGGGGGGGAGGGAGCGGTGCATGTGGGTATAGATAGCGGTGTGGATGTGGTGCGTGTGATGTGATGAACGAGTGTTGGTCGAAAACAAATATTTTTTTTTCTAAGCGGGCAACAGGGGTTCTGTTCCCAGGTCGTCTGTTTGCGTTTTCTGTTTTTTTTTAACTTTCCCATTTTACACTTCACTCACATACACACCACGCCTCTACCCATTGTGCATTGGGTGATGGCTCTGCGCCTGCGTCTTGGCTTTTATGAGTCGTCGGGGCGGCTTCCTCGCTCCTGCGCTCTTTGGGGCTCTTTTCCTCCGTAGAAGATCGTAAGACCGTAAAAGCCCCGACCATCCATCGAGGCCCCTTCCCTGCGACTTTCCTGCTTAATTTCTTATTGTTGTTGCTTCTGCTGCTTCTGCTGCTGATGCTGCTGATGCTTCTGCTGCTGATGCTGATGCTTCTGCTTGCTGCTGCTTCTGCTTGCTGCTGCTTCTGCTTGCTTCTGCTGCTGATGCTGATGCTCATCTTTGAATTGTTGTGGGCCCCAGGCAACCGCCGGTCTTCGTCCGCTGACGCCCTGGCCGCCGCCGCCGCCGCCGCCGCGGCCGCCGCGCCGGCCCCCTCCGGCCCCCTTGGCGTGCTGTCGACCCTGGCTGTGGGGGTGGTGAGCTTCAGCGCCTGGTGTGTGGCCTCAGCTGTGGATGTGTGGGACGACATCTACTCGAGGACGCCCTGGGGTGAGACTGAGTGGCAGACTGGGGCCCAGCGGGCGGCAACCCGGGAGTAAGCACACAGCAGCGAATGAAGGTGCTCCCGAGCGAGCTCCGTACACATACATACATACATACATACATGCATACACACATGCATACACACGCACGCGCGCGGGCGCACATTAGAAAGCACACATGGACACACGCACACATTGCTGACACATTACGACTACAGCGAGTGTAGAAAAGCACCGGTGGATCGGTGGATGCAGATCCCGTGGTGATGATGATACGCGATGATATGTGATATGACACACGTGAACGCACACATGCACCATTTCCTCCTCGCGCGCAGATCACTAAAGCTGACCAACACCGCAGCTGTGTGGTGCAGCTGTCTCCAGGAAATCTCCGGCTTGTAATGGTACAGCTGTACTGGCTTCAACATAACCACTTGTTAGCTAACAACTTGTGCGCACTCTCACGTTCCGCGTTACGCTACAGCTTAGGAGGGTAACGCAAATCAAATTGTGGAACACATGTACCCTCTCTCTCACGTTCGCTCTCTGTCTGTCTGTCTGTCTGTCTGTTTGTCTGTCTGTCCCGCACGACGCAGGTCTGGAGGCGATTGGGGTTCCGCAACACGTCAACGTAAGGCCCACCTATTTAGAGGAACATGTACAGCGGCTGGCGGAGGCAAATGCGCCCGCCGTGGCGGCTGCTGCTGCTGCCGTACGTTCGCGAGCTGTTCAACGCGCGCTGGATAAGCGGGCACGGCGACGGCAGCAAGCACAGCAGGCGCAGCAGCAAGAGCAGCCGCAGCCACAGCAGGTTCCCGCTGATACTAGCAAAGGTGAGAAGCTGTTGCCTGGCGGCGGCGACGGGCCTGCCGCCACCGTCGTCACCGCCGCCGCCACCGCTGGCAACCAATGCCCTGAAGCCGCCGCCGCTACCTCTGGGGCTCCGGAACCGGTTTCGTCGTCTCGAACTCCAGCGCCGTCCGCTGGCACTGCTGATGCAACGGCTGCGGCGGGGACTGAGAACGACGACGGCAGTACCGCCGCCGCTGCGAAACGGCAGGACCGCAGCAGCCAGCGCCGCCGCGGCAGAGCTGCCGTCGCCGCGGCGGCGGCCGCCGCCGCGAGCGCCGCCTTCACCGGCTTGTCCTTACAAACTGAAACGATGGCCGGACTCACCGTACTGCTCCAGTTCGCCTGGGCGACGGCGCGAGCCGCACATTTCCGGGTGCAGCGGGAAGCCGACGTCGTCTTCGGCGCCTACGGCAGCGGTGGCGGGGGTGACGGCGTCGATGGACTGCTGCGCCTGGCGGGCGGGCGAGGTTCCAGGGACGGCGGCAGCGGCGGCTTCGCCGCCGCCGCCGGCGGCGGCAGCGGCCTCACATTGACCGCCAGCCAGGATGGCGAGCTGGGCCTTGTGGCAAGACTGGACATAAGGCCCGTGGTGGCGGCGACGGCGACGGCGAAAGGAGCTGCGGCGGCGGCGGCGGCTTCACCAGCATCGACGGCGTCTGTGAATGGCGAAACGTCAACAGCTCGCGCGCTAACAGAGTCGAGGGAAGCGAACTCCGACGGGCAGACGTCATCATCTTCACCTCCGTCGGCGCCGCCGGCGGCCGCGGCCGGGGGGGGATCGCCCAAGCCCAGCGGCTTGTCGATCCGCGAGCTGAGATCTCCGGGGCAGTCTGGTGTCAGATACGAGTTAGTCCAGAGCGCGACAAAACTTGCACCGCAGGTGGGAGTGAAGGGGGATGGGCTGGATCGGAGTAGATTAACGAGAGAAGACACTTTCTGAGTGGCCCCATGTGGAGGGAATGGAGGAGGGAATGGTGGGGGGGATGGTGGTGGCAAACTTGCGGACAGAATGGCAAAATATCACCAACCCAGGTCCTTCCACGGAGATCAAAGGAGATCATCGTCCGGGGGGTTCAGGAAGCAGCAGGGCGGTGTTGCAATCGGGGGTTTGCAATGTATCTGTGTGTGTTGGGGGGGGGATGAGTGTGTCTGTGTCTGGGAAGGAGGGTGTGCAGACTGCAGGGTCGGTAGGGAGGGGGGTTGGAGACCAGTTCAGGGTTGTTTTCGCCACCACAGCCAAGGTGGAGGAGGAGGAGAGGCGGTGGTCGCCGGGAGGAAATGGAAGGGGGAAGGGTTCACAACGCCGCCGTGAGATGAAGGTCCCGCTGCCCTAAGCACGCTGGTAAACATACAGACGTGCACACGCACATTTACTCCGATAAGGTTACTCTTTTGCACCATCCTCGCGAGCTCCTGCCTGTGGCTCGAAAACCATCAAACACACACACTCACACCGTCCCCCCTGCCCATCATATCCAGGTAACGCGACCCCACAAATTCGAGGTGGGACTCCATCTCAATGTACGGAAGCTTCTTGGCGACCTACCGGAGGATGCTCCGGACCAGCTGCTCAAGTTACAACAGCCAATGGCGGGAAGCGTCATGCAGCCCGCCGGAGGCGCCGCCGCTGCCGCCGCCGTCGGAGGCGGCGCCAGCGGCGGCAGCAGCCGTCGCGCCCCGGCCCCGGCCCCGATGCCTGAGGCGCACGGCCTCCTGCTTATCGGCGATCTAGGGCTTGAGGAGTTTGAGGAGATGAGGGGGATGCGGCCACCGGCATTAGGATTTGCAGATCTAGGCGAGTTGCTGCCGCCGCCGGGGCGGCGGCCGGGGCTGGCGGCCGCTGCGTCCCCCGGGAGGATGGGCGTCCATGCCGGCGGCGCTGGGTTCGGGGATGACAGTTTGGAGGGGGAGGAGGAGGAGGAGGAGGACGACGGCAGCGGGCCGGAGAGTTGGACGGGTTCCCGTGGGGTTGGCGGTGGCGGCGGCGGCAGGGGGGGTGGAGGTGGAATGCGGCCGCGTGGTTGGGCGGCTGGTGGCCGGGGCGTTTGGGGGCGGTGGGGTCGTTGAGCGGGGATTGCACTACTGCTGGAGGGTAGGGTGTGTTGCAGGGTTTGTTTTGGGGGCATTAGGTTCCGTGTGTAGGGCAGCCTAGGGAAGGGGGTGTGGAGCGGGAAGGTGGCTCTCTGCAGGAAAACTCAGAGAAGGGAAAAGAGGGGGAGGGAGAGGATGGGACTGGGCGGGGCGAGGGTTAGGGTTGGCGTGGATAACCCGCGGGGTGGGAGGACTGGGTTGGGATCGGTAGCGTGTTTATGGCTGAATCGGGTCGGGTCGGGTCGGGGTCGGGGTGGGGGGGGGGAGGGGGAGGAGAGTGAGAGACGTTCTGTCTGTCCTGTGATGTGTGTGTGTCGTGGGCTGTGATGTCGTGTATATGCCTATTTACGGCTGGCGGTGGAACCCTGAGTCAACCGACGTAACGGTTACGACAAACTGGCTTGAGGTGGCTGGCTGCTTGTATACAATCCTACGTGAGCCGCATACGTTTGGGGGGGGGGGGTATGGAACGGTTTCGGAGCGGAGCCGTGGAAGGAGTTTTGGACAAAATGGTCGGGGCGAGTATTAGTCGTTGGGGGCGGGGATAGCGGCGGGATTTTGGAGGTAGGCGATGCTGCGATGGCAAGTGCCTTGGCTGGAGCTGTGTAAGGGGAAGGGGGACTCTCGTGCGCGTTTCGGGCCCCCCCGCCGTCCTCTCCTTGTCGCATGTTCGCCGCCAGTTTTCACAAAACGCCCTTTTCCGGGTGCGCTGCTGGAGGTTGGAACGTGTACACGTAAGCGTACCGGGGGCGCCTGGTGCGCCGTTGTGGAGTGTGGTTCTTGTGAAGCGGAAGAGGAAGAGGGTGAGGAAGAGGGTGAGGAAGAGGGTGAGGAAGAGGAAGAGGATGAGGAAGAGGAAGAGGATGAGGATGATGTTAGTTATTACAGTGGAGCCCTACCAGCTCATGTTCGACACCCTAGATAGAGGCAGGAAGAGAGGAAGGAAGCGTGGGTCCGGCAGGTCAGGTCCTTGAGCTTTTTCAGGTCGCCTTGCGATGTATATATGGTGTCCTAAAAATTTTATGCTTGTTTGTGCTTGGGTTTTCATGTGTCGCTGTTGCTGCTGCGGAAAGAAGTAGTGCTTTCCTGTTTTTGTTTTCGCGCTTCGTGCTTTTGTCTGTCCGCATATTGCGCAGGCGTTCGGCGCCGCAAATTGGGTGCATTTATGGTTCGGAGTGTGTGGAGCTTTGTAGTGAAATGAGCGACTTGGTCCCGACTTACGACTTACGACGATATGCGACAGGTCCTACGGCCGAATAACATGTCGGCTATCTTGACGTTATCTGACCAGCGTTTGCTTGTGAAGGCGCTTCATAAGGTGCGTTGGTTGCGAAGCTCGCATAACGATGAACATGTATAGTTGTTTTAATTATCTAGTCACCAGCGTAAAAATCTGTTTAGTATGTTTTCGTAGATGATGAAACAGTTTACAGACGCATATACACAGGTGCCTCTTTGTGACGGTGGCGGTCCGCCACCGTCACAAAAGTCGGCAAATCCGGTGGGTACTGCGGGTCCGTACCACAGTACCCGCAGCCGAATTTCGGCTTAAGGCCCCGTTAGGCTGGGGTCCCTTATGACCAAAATTCGACCAAAAGACGTGATTTGCAGCCTCTAGTGCGGCCCGTAGGACCGCGCGCTGGACTTGAACTCTGTGTTTGGCTTTGTAAAAGACTGTCACGACCACCTCTATATACAATTCGGTGACGGTTATCAGTGATGATAAATGACCACAGTGTCTGTACGGATGACTTGCAGCTGCCGCAGCACTTGGGGCGTCGACTTGGTCAACTTAGGACTTGGGCATATCAGAGGGATGTAGGCAGCCTCTCGCCGGGGAGCGATGAAGGAAACGCGTGCCGAAGTCTCCAGCGGCCGACAACGCACATTGGCCGGCATGCTGACCGGTCGTAAAACCACCGAAGAGGCTTCCCATCCCATCCCACTCCCCATCCTGCTCATGCACACGCACTGCTTGGCCATGTGCCTTTTTAGGATATATGAACAACCCTATTGTCCTCTCCTCCTGGTTGCATCTTGTGCATCCAGCCATGAGAAGATGAGCTGATGAGCTGATGAGCTGATGATGACTCAGGGAAGGAGTCAAGGCATGGTGCCACACGTATGCGAGGTGTCGCTGTTCGGTGCTCAACCAACGTATCTACCATAAACTGACAACCTTGTCGTACAGTTTTTGAGCTTGATGGTCGCCATACATCCTCAATGTATAAATAAGTCAGTCCGAATAAGATGAAAGTGTGTGCAAAATGGGACTTGAAGGCGGGGTTCGGCAGGAGCTGCGGGTCCCTGCAGGTGGTACCGCATTACCTGCAGCCAAAGAACGCCAGTCGGTTCCCGCTACGGGTCCCGAAATGACAGCCTTTCCGGCGCTAAAGACAGAAATAACGCCGACCCCCAGCCGAAGACATCAATTTGCCAATCCCTGCTTCCGAGTTCTGAGGTGTTTTTTGCGACAGTTAAGGCAGGCATACGGCTGGTCGTTAGTCGTGCGCAATCGTAATAATGTGGGAGCATGGAGGCCACATCTGGTTTGCATGGGCCCCCAATTCGTGAGGGTAACTGGTCGTAACTGCTTGGCTGTGTTTCTGAGGAAGCAAATTTTCAGAGCAATTTATCGTCCATGCAGGGCATATTTATGGCTGGTTGCATAACAAATTGCGGATGCGAGGCGACTGCTTGCATAACAAATTGCGGGTACTGCTAAAGTTGCAAGTCGCAAGTCGCAAGTCGCAAGTGGCAAGTCGCAAGGAACACGCAAAATTTCTATTATGATATACTATATACGCGAATACGTACGTGAACCACGCCTGTAGGGTGTAAACAGATAGCATTTGCGGCGTCCGCGTCTGCGGGCTATGGCCGATCGCAGGCGCAACTATGCTGAAGTGGCTTGCGGCCTATGTGGCTTCGTCTGTCTGAGCAGTGCAATGTAGCTGTCTGAGCAACGCAATGTAGCTGTCTGAGCAATGCAATGTAGCTGTTCATACGCACAAGCTCACTCAGGCCTCATCTAGTTCTTATCAGTATTTGCTTATTGTATCTCATCAAGTTCTTAACAGTATTTGCTTATGGGCCTTCTGGTGGGGTTCCGAGGACTTTCGCCAATTGGGGAGTCTAATTGCTGTGGTTGCGGGTTCTGAGCCTGCCCTTGGATTTGGTTTTGGATTATTTAGGTGACTTGCGATGTCTGGTCTGGGTTGGAGTCTTGTTTGCCCTAATCGTATCAGGTGCAGTGCACGGCCTGCTGGCCCGCTGGCTGTACTCTTTGTGAGTCTGGAGCCCACTGTAACAACCACACTGCCTCGAGGCATCCCTAGCCCCGGCGGTGGACTGATAGGAACTAGCCTAGTCCGCACAAGTTCCACACAAGTGTGGGGGTGTCCGTAAGAGCTGGGGGGCCCATGGGCGGTAAATTGTTTTTAGGGCGGTTGCATGGTGGACCATCATCATCCACCCTCGTCCGCTTGAGCACGGAGCGCCTTAGAGCAACACGCCGGGTCTCCCAGACTTCCGAGAGGAACCTGGCTAGTGCCAGGGGTGGGGCCTCGGTCATAATCGTGCGCATGTTGCACCCTTGAAACATGAGGTCACGTTCGCCCGTGTACTAATGTACGCCAGGCATTCCACAAAGACATGCATTTCGTCTTCAACCGCCCCGCAGTCACAAAGCCTGCAGGTGCATGCTGTGCACTCATGGCCGTTAGGTTGGTTAATCTCTAACTCCCAACAGCCTAACCGGAAACATATAAGCATTTGATGCAAACATTGGGGCATGGCGATTTCAGGTGGTCATTATGGATTTCAGCACGAACAATGAACCCTGCCCACTCCCCCATGCCCCTTGCGGGCAAGCAACGGAGAATCGGGTGAGAGACCGAGCTTTCTATTAGGGCCTGGTGCCTTAATAGGGAGGGGTAGGGTCTGTACAGGGTTTCCGGGTTTCCTCGGTCTTCTTGAACCCTCACCCCAAGAGCCAGTCTTCTTGTGTGTTTCAGGCTCAGTGCTCAAACTCGCGTGACGGAGCCTTGACCCCCGGGGGAGGAGAGCGGAACTAGTGGACCCGCGGCTCTCAGCTGCTTAGGAGGGACAGAGGCCCCTTACACCCCTCTCCTGTCTGCGGGAGGAGCTTAGGTGGTCTTTCTGTTGGGGCTGGGCAGCAGTCCCTGGCCAGTTTCAGGCACGGTCAAATACTTGCAACACACGCACACGCACACACATACATACACACACACAAGCTCACGAAGTTGAATTGAATTGTTACAGAGTGGGAGGCTTCTGGGCCATTTGAACATATTGTCACACAAAGCTCGCGATATGCCAGCTGAACTGATTCCCGTGCCTCGAATGCCCTGGTAAAAACCTTCTTGCGGACGTAACCCAGCTCAGACAATGCACGGCTAATATCAGGGACGCTCCAAAGAGTGCCCAGTAAGTTTGTCATAGCGGTGGCCAGATCGGAGAGCATTGCTTGGTCGTCGGCCTGCACCAGCTCCACCAGCGTCTGTGCAGCGATCTCATCAAACTTGCGTAGTTTGCGTGTTCCTGTTTGTCCTCTAAGCGGCAGGACATCGCCATTCGCCACGTAGGACTGTATGATAGCATGCACAGTCCTCTCGCAAGGTCTGTGCCCGAAAGCCTCAGCTATTTGCGCTTGCGTGTAACCCTCGTCGAAATAGAGGTGGCAAACACGTTCGCGCACTTGTTTGCTGTAGTAGTAACGGTTCAATACTTCTCCCATTTTGAGATCCGCTCTACAAACTGAGTATGCACACGTACGTATTCGCGTATATAGAATATTATAATAGAAATTATGCGTGTTCCTTGCGACTTGCGACTTGCAACTTGCGACTTGCAACTTGCGACTTGCGACTTCAGCAGTACGCAAGACCGCACTTCGCCTCGCATCCCGCAATTTGTTATGCAACCAGCCATAAGGTGCTTGAATGTAAATGCTCGTCACTCAACCATTTAGTTAGACTTTTACTATTAGAGTTATTCCTCCAAAGCCGGCGCTCACCGCAAAGAGCGATGTCAGACAGCGGCAATCGACGGGCCAACAAACGCCGAAAGGCTCAACCAGGTACCCTAGATGAACTGAACCGGCACGTGCAACGATTAGGCAAGATAACGAATACGAACTGTACGTTTTCTTCATATGGGATAACCATCTCACTCGCAAGGGTCGCGGACAGCATCCCCGGGATTGAGAGGCAGCTAGGCGTCACATTCTCTACTCAGGACGTCTCAGACATGCGTGTGAGTTATCAATAAAGTTAACCCCTAGTATGTTGTGGTGGAATGGTCGCTTTACCCTGTTGGTGCTCGTACGAGTGCCCCACCTATCGTTCTGCAAGTTGTTCCACACGTGCTAAAACTAGCATACGGGAAGCAGGGCGCCACAGGGCGTCGTCGGGGCAGAGAGAAACCCACGGGTCGGCAACGAATATACAGTTCGAACGCATGCACATGCACACGCAGCTGCAGCTGCGTGCGCACAAACTCTCACTTGCGCGCCACAGGGTGGTGTGGCTCAAAACAACTTACACCACCACAAGTGGGAGAAGACAAAACACATGCATTCCTACCCACAAAAATGCGCGTTCCTCCACAATAGCTTTTGTGTAAAAGATGTTAAAAAGAGTCCCCCACGGCACCTCTCTCCAGCCCTCCACAGCTGGACGACTCTGCGCCCTCTGTCCTATAAAAAAAGTCTAAACGAACCCCACATCCTATACCACATTGCATGCATCCGACGTGTATCATGTTTTGGACGTATTGCAAATGCATCCCCCTTAACCCCGGCGTCATCGAGACATTCTGACACATTCGGATATTGTGTCCTCCAAATGAATCAGGGCGGCGTGTGGTGGCGTCACGTGGCGTGTTTGAAAAAACAACTGACCCCCAGAGGCTGTGTGGTAAAGGCTGTGGGGTGAGACGAAACAACACAGCAAGAGCGCCTCACCCATGTGTTGTGCACAACATCCCAACAATCAAAAACCCCGCACACGACACAACACCTGCCACTGCCCATCCGGGACTCTGGGGGTGTCTCTCCAGAAGTTAAATAAATTACAGGCTTGATGGCGGGTTTTAGCGTGCCGCGCGTTTGTGTGCCTCTGCAGGTTGTGTGTGTGACTCTCCTATGAATGTCCAGTCAAACGAATGGGGAAGCCACCGGTTAAATACGACAGGGACCCTGGGGGATTCGTGTGGGCGCGAATGATGCATATGCTAATAACACTGAAGCCTCCGGCCCCATAGAGCCGTGTGGCTGTTTTGTCCTCCGGGGTGTGAAAGAAGGGAGAAATGCGTGGCGCACCATCCCTCCCTCCCTCCAACCCCCACCCTCCACAATACCTTTTCTTACTCTTATTCCGCCCTCCCAAAGTCATCCTCCCTTCCCCTCCCATCTGCCCTCCCTTCTGCCCTTCAGTGCCTTGTCCTCTGCTGTCTCCTGCTCTCCCTTGCCCTTCCCTCCGTCCTTTGTGTTTGTTTGTGTGTGTGCCCTCTGCCTGTGTGCTCATCTGTTCACGGACATGTGTGTATGTTGTGTATGTAACATGGGTCATAACATTTGGGGACACCTGGGAATTGAACCCAGACCCACAAGAAGGTGGGTGGCACCTCTGCCGTGTTCCGATTCCCGCCCCACCCCGCGCCTGCACTGCCCTGAACCGCCCTGCCCAGCGCAGCGCCGCCCTCCCCTGCGCCGCCCAGCGCAGCGCCGCCCTCCCCTGCGCCGCCCAGCGCAGCACAGCCCTCCCCTGCGCCGCCCAGCGCAGCACAGCCCTCCCCTGCGCCGCCCAGCGCAGCGCCGCCCTCTCCTGCGCCGC